AATAATATTCGACCAAGCTGCTAGACACGCACGACAGCGCGAAAATGATTTGCATCCTTACTCCTGCCCCTTCCCACCCATACAATAACCGTACTCAGTACACCTGAAGCATGAACGACAATGTTGGCACTTGCTGGCATTACATTTGTGCTCAAAGATGTGCGCCGAAATCAGGTGTCGAGCCATCAAGTCCGCGAGCTCCGTCCTGCCCGCATCTGAAGACCACCCTCCAGGCGGCTCTGAGACCACCGCCTGTGCGCGACGCCCCCCCCGCCTTCGGCTGGGCCCGCACTGGGCGCGGAGCGGGACGTGGGGCGGGGGGTGGCGGAGGTCCTTCAGAGGTTCCCTGAGGCACTGGAGCAGGGGCCGAGGGGGCAGAGGCTGCTGCAGGGCGGCGCAGCACCGCAGCTGGGGCCCCCGAGGAACAAGGCGGGGCCGCCGCTGCTGCGCCGGTACTCGGGCTGGCCGACGGCGCTGGCTGAGCAGGCTGGGCAGGCATGGGTGGGCGGGGCTGTTTGCCTCGAAGACGGCGGGGCTGCTGACGAGGAAAACCTGCTGGGACCTCGAAGAACCCCTCAACTCCCCGAGACGCCTCTGGAAGAATTTGTTGACCCCGAGGTGCTCGTTGGGCCTGCTCGCGGATTTTTGCCTTCCGAACTCGGGCCACGGGGCCCTGGCGCTCGCAGCACTGGACACGCTTTTCGTAGCCTTTCCAAAGCCAGCAATGCCCACAACACTTGCATAAGCAGAGGCCCGCCGAGAAAATGGTCAGATTACCCTGCTCGAGGTCAAGGCGAAGGGCTCGACTCTCTCGCTGGTCACGGGGGCCCCCGACAGCGCGACGAGCCCCCCAAAGATCTCGATTGGCCTCAAGACGACGACCGTGCCTCCACTTACGCATGAGTTAGCCCACACGATACTGTCTTGTGCAAGTCCCGCCCACTCCCCCCGCCATCGCTCTTGGGGGATATCAGAATACTGCATGAGAGCATCAACGCTCTGCCACAATACTGCGCGAATCCTAAGCCTCGCGCCACCAAAGGTCTTGACCGAGGTAAACTCTTCAGGATGGAGCCATAAAATCTGACGATCCAGTCGTTCAGGGGGTAGTCTCTTGTGACGCCCCAAGAACTGTAACCTCCTCCAATCGATATAAATTTCCACCAAATCTAAGTTCAGCTGCTTCCTACGGTCCTGCATCGGCTTCTGGTATCCATGCATTCGGGAGCGGCGCTGATGTACGAGTCCCAGCATGCATTTATTGATAAAGCCTTGGTAGCGTCGAAGCTCAAGCTTAGTAAAAGTGCGGCTTCCACAGCCGAAAAGCAAGCAAGCCAGAACCGTAGCATTGAAGAGCACCCCCAGATGTTTAACATCAAGTCGTAGACGACTAACTTGCGAATACAGCCTACGCCAGACAACCCCAGCCTTCTGGAGGCGCTTCTCCGAATCCGTACAGTTTTTTTCCCATCACGGCGCAGCCTGGCTCCTAAAAACCTCGCGGCTTCCGAGAATTCAGGGGTCAACTCTGGGCCGGCGCATAGTCGTTCATATTTGTCCCGGTGACCTGCTTCTGACCAAGATCCTAATACTTGTTCTAGGAGACCCTCAAGCTCGGGACGACGCAACCCACGAGAAAGAAGGTTGGTGTCGTCGGCAAACGTAAATTCGAAAAGCTTGACCACAGGGTGCTCCTCCAGGACCTGGTCACAAACCTGGCAGGCCGACGAATTCGTGTACCGATATCGAACTCGGTGTGCGACAAATCCAAACATGCAATACCGTCACATCCGGCAGCTAGGGCTTGTGCTCAAAAACCATGCATAGCAGACGCATGAAAAATATTAAGTGCCAGAGGGGGCGATGGACAGCCCTCTTTAAACCCGCGGGCCAGCGTGTACACGTCCGAGAGCCCATCGCGCATTTTCAACTGATATTGAATATCTACATATAGGCCTCTCACTACGCTGTCCAAGGCCTCTGGGATCCCAAGAAGTATCTGATTTGCACACACTGCTTCCCTAAGCACGCGGGCGTACGCCTTCATGATGTCGGCGCCAGTGGCAACTAACGGATCGAGGCCCTCACTCTTGCGGTAGTCGACCTCACTCGCTGCTTCCAAGAGGATCCTCACGATCAATGTGGGGCCTGCTATTGAACGGTGACGGCGGAAGCCAAATTGAGTAGGAGGCAGAAGGTTGTGTTCTTCAGCGTGCAAGGGTAGGCGCTAAGCTACAAGACGGGTAATCATACGATTAATGATACTTATCAATACAATCTGGCGGTAAGCGTTCGGGTCGGTGCGACTTCCCTTACTTTTCCAGAGACGCACACCAAGCGCGGCCTCAGCAAGACTACATAAAAAGACTACGACTACTACGACTACCCCTAATACTACCACTACTACGACGACTACTACTACTACCACTACTACTACTACTACTAC